TAAATTTTGCTTTTATTGGATAAAAATATAAAAAAAAACTACAAGATTGTAAGTTTTGTAATTGATAGCAAAAAAGTTGCAACTTTTTTTTATTAGTATATTTATTAAATATTTACGTTAATTTTGATTTTTTTATTCTCCCCAAAATTTATCAATATTGTTAACCACATCGCCACGTTTAAAGAAAAAAAAGAATTGAAATAATCTTTCTTCCGATTTGAGAAGAGACCACAATCCGATGTCGTGCGTGTTACCGCGATACGATGTTTAGTACTTCTGTCGGTCGATCGGTCATTAGTTACACCGGCACGCACGCATAATTACACATTCGCGCGAATGACATTTATTGCCTGAGATTAACCTGTTAGCTCCGCGGAATTATTAATGCGCCGCGTTTATAAAGCGAGAGATGCAAATCTGGGCCGAGCGAGACGCAGGCGGGACGACGAGCGAAGCGAATATACGTACTCATCTACGTTAAACTTGGTTTGCTTATCCGCGCGCGTCAAATACCTTACATAATTGGCGAGCACGCGGGACTCGTGTACACGCGAAAGAAATTTCCCGCCTTCTTAATCGTTCGCTTCCCGGGAAAATTTCTCGAGGCAGATTCATTCCTTCTCATTATGAACGAATCGGAGATGTGTCTTATTAAGTGCAATAAGTTTGAGATATGAATCTCATAAGAGAGAAAAACACGAATCAATAAAATCAATAAATCGGCTTGCGCTTGAGACAGCGTGAGAAGACAAAATAGGTCAAAAGTGCGAAATGTTCTTTTCACTAGACATACTTTGAGGATTAATTGAGCGTTTAGGAGTTTTCTTTAATAATAAAATCAGGGTATTCTTGTCGAGTAACCAAAGATTTAAAGTGAAACAAGCTTTTGATGAAATGAACTTCAAGAGAACAGTGCAATTAATTCCAAACAGACTTCTTTGTAACAGAAGTTTACTTTGAAGATTCCAACATTCTCAAACTTTCCGGAAATTATTTAATCATATGTTGCCGAGTTTCCTCGCATTATGCTTCTAAGTGTAATTGTGAGCAGGACGCAGCCAAGAGTCTCGAAACGGAAGTGGAGGGCGGATAAATTCGCTATGAAGTGCGAAGGCAGTGCGAAGAAGCGGCGATGGCGAAACCAGAATAGACGTGCTCAAGATTCCATTGCTGTTTTATTTCTTTCGCCGATATAACACTGGTAGAGCTCCCTTCCTCTCATCGTCTTTTTCTCATGTCTCGCCAGGAATCAAAGACGCATAAGGGTCAGCGAATGAACCACCCAAAGAGTAAACAAGGAGAGGCATAACGAGGGGATAAAAAGAGGTGAAAGAAAACGCGGCGAATTGAGCAGAACGAGAGAAGGAGAAAGAGAACTAATGGGAGAGAAAAGGGATAAAGGGCGATGGAAGAGTTATGGGAGAGAAGAAAGTCGAACGAGAAGAGAGCGGGAGGTCAAAGGAGTGGGGGGGGGGTGGGGGGGGAGGAGTAGGCGAGGCAGGATATCAGCATCGAACGACGAAAGTAATAAAACTCTGATGGATGGCAGACTCGGACAGATTGGTCCATTCAATTGAGAATTCGACAAATTTACGGACTTCCTAGTCTGCCATCATGGACGGTGTCATAGACCCTCCTCCACCTCTTTTTTTTTACGCATCTACTTTGCCGTTCATTCTTTCGATATCAGACAAAACGGAAAAATTTTATTGGCATATTTGAAATTGTTAATAATGCGTCAGATAAGACTTTATACACTGCGAAAAATGTACTTTATTTTAAACTTGAAGCGTTGCGTATCCTGTATAGATCTTTTCCTCTTATAAATTTTCTCGATAAACCGTGATTATCGTCAGAATTGATTAATTAGAAATAATTTTATCGGTTATATGTATATATATTTTTTTTCCCTTACTATTTGATGAACACTGATAATTTCTTTTTCGTGAATTCTCATTATAAAAATTACTTGTGTTTATAAAAATTATATATGTATGTGTATTCTTTTATATAAAAGTTACAAATACTACTTTTACCCACTTCGAGTCCAAGACAATTATATTTCCAACTTTACAATCGTTTATTAAGTAGATTAAACTTTGCGTTAGAGAGAATCTTACAAATTACCGCCACAGCGGAGGAAGCACATTTTTCCCTCCAGAGAAAAGTTTGGAAGTCCATTTCTCAGTTTTGACGTAAAAGTTTTTGGTTCTTTTTATATAATGGCCGTTCATTTATCCTTGCTTCGCGAGAGAATCCAGTGGTGAAAAACGGCTACTCGGTTCAAGTTGCCTTCGAAGAAATGATCATAAAGTAGACCTTTGCCGCCGTGGAGAAAAGAAGAGGGAGAGAACACGGAGAACGCGCTACGAGAAAGAGACGGAGGAAAAAAGACGGAAAGGAAGAGAGAAATGGGAAAGGACAGAGAATGGAAGAACAGCGAGGCAGTCACGATGTAGTTTTAACCCGACGACAACCACGACTGCGGCATTACATATAATACCTGTCTGACAAGCTACCTTACCCGTGTTGTGTCAGCCACTAGCCGTGTGTGTGTGTGCGTGTGTGCGCGCGCGAGCAACGTGTGTGCAGAACACGCGCTTTTGTGTGCGCGGAGCTTACCGGTCGGCATGCACGAATATGCACTGTTGCGTGTACCTACGTACTTTGTACTTGCTCGAGTATGGTTTGAGAATTCGAGAATTCAAATGAAACTAACAATCGGCTTGTTTCCAATATTTGAAAAATTTTATATATCGCGCATAAATAAAATTGTGTAAAATTAATTTATGTATTTTTCTTATTTTGCCCGTTTTATCTCATAAATATGATTGTACGCGGTGTTGTCTATGTAATTTTAATGTCACAAAAATCACGTTTACATGATAAATTTGTAGATAATTTCAAAGAATTTTGTTACGTAAATGTGAATAATAATTCTGAAGCATTCTACATATTTAAATTATGGATTTTACATTTAAAACACGTATTATACGCGCCGTCACATTTGTCACGAGTGTAGAAGAAACAGCAATGAGCGAGCAGCTTGCGTGTGTTCGGATTGCATGCGGCTTTCTTTATAATTTCTATAGATCGCCCGTAATTGTACTACGACGAAATCGTCGCTGAAGCATGCAACGATAGAGCTCGGAGGCTTCCCTAGGGGGGATCTATTAGCGACATTAGAATTAATTATGCTCATCCGCGATGGAATTAATTATTGTGCCGGAGTGTATTTCTTGGTACTTTTGTTTTCTGAATTCATTCTATGCCAATTTTATCTTGCGTGCAAGTCAAGCGGTACATTGTTGTATCGTATTATTATATCGTGGTGTATTATTATTACAAGAAATAAGAAACAAATCGTTCAAAATTTTCAGATTGCATAATAATCGTATAAAAAACGTAAGAACTAATTATTAAAAATGCGTTGATAAGGCAAATTTTATTAATATAGCAAATTATTTATCTTAAATAAATGGAAAATAAAAATTATTTTGAGTTAAAAATATGAAGTCTTTAATGAATTGCACCAAATAGAAATTTGCAAGAACATATCAATTACTTATTTACACGCACAGGCATACTCGTAAATGTTTAAGTATTTTCTTTATTAACATCTTATTCTTTATATGCTGCATACACATCAGCTAAACCAGTGCGTTTCGCACTAGTCGCTCGAATTAGCGATTCAGCTTAGCGACGTGTACATGTCGTAAAACAACAGTGGACGTTAAGCTTATGGAACATCTGTTAACAAGCACGCGCGCGCGCATACATACACACGTACACGCGCGAAAGCTTAGGTTTGGATAAATGAATCTACTTTACTTTGGAAACGTTGTCGTTATCGAGGCACACCTATTTTAATCGAAATAATCTTAGTAAGCGCGTAAGATTATAATCTTATTGTTAGCAGACACGTGGACGGACTCCCATTACGGAGTTTATCACGCATTTTCCTAGCAACACTTATAAATATGCCAGCGTATGACAGTGTGACATTTCGATGCAACGATATGGACATAAACTGCGATCGTTCTAAAAGTCTCGATTCTTTTCTCTTTATGTGCGTGCTATTTTTCGTAATAAAAATATCTCTCTTTAAATAAAGTAGAGCACGTACTAAATATCTTACGGAGAACGAACATGTATATATCTACTATATTATATATATATATTACAATTATGATTTATTTGAGAAGTTATTCCAGCAAACGAAATAATGAAGTTGCAACACGTTTTTATTTATCCGACTTTTCTGCCCGGCGGAATATCGGACGGATATTTATAACCCTGAATCGCTCGAGTAGCAACAAGATCGATCGAGTGCTATTCCTATTACACCCGTGCTCTTCGAATGTTTACCCGGGGCAAACGATTGATTGATCATCGATGCTAGTTATTTTCAGTCGACATGAAACGATTTTTATACCGCAATAAAATAATCGTTATTCTTTACCGTAGTTATTTATTCACTTATATAAGAGCGCACCGTAACATTTAGAACAATTATCGGAATTATCGATTCCGTCAATTATTATTTATTAACTGTGAATAATAGAGTCACGTCTACAAATTAGTCTTTAAATCTTAATTGATCACATCTTAGATGAGACGATCAAGACCAATTAATTAATTTTTAAATCTGAATTGATTATGATTTTGATTGAAATTTACTCAAAATTGATTATTAATGAATATAATTAGATAACTCCGAGTAAGAGTCGAAAATGGCACTTGTTCCAAAAACAATTATCATTTATTATTATATCACAACGATAACGTAAACTTTCGTTTGCTTCCTGTGTTGTTCACCATTTAAAGATGCGCTAACTTGATATTACTTAATGTCATGGAAAAACAAATAACTGGTTAACGCGGTGAGTTTGCATTGAGCGACAGATGTGCTCGTATAATGTTTTACGAAAATAACACGGACTCATGTGCTATCATGCGTTATTACGGTTATTTAGCGAATTTAAAAAATTCAATAAATCAGTAAGTACCGTGTATAATCCAAATAGGGCAATAAAATGTATGAAAATTTTATAGCAAATTTAACAAGTAACCGAGATTGTGAATAAATCATTATAATTCTAATATGCAAATTCTTGTTTTAATTTGTTAACGTTGACGATTGGATTCTTAGTAACAAAACGTTAAAAATACATAGATCGTTAATTTGACATTAAGTGAATTTAAAAGAATTTAAAGAAAGCATTCGTGTAGATGATTCCGTCGACAATATCATTTTAAATGCGGAGAGATCCGATTCGATAATTGACCTCAATTATAAATCAAAAGCCGTAAGAAAATTTTATTGAACAAAGCAAGGCAGATTCACGACTGAATAAAGAATTAAAGAATATATATGCTGAATAATTTTGAATAATTTTTAACTTTTCAATTAAATAATCTCCATCATCTTTGTTATATTTTTTAAATAGAAATATCAAACAGAATTAATTAAAATTTTTAATTGCGCTGATTTTCGCACAAAGTATATAATTTAAAATTAATAATGAAAGAAACATATTTATCTAAATTAAGTTGCTAATTGCTGCAATAACACGTTAAAAGAAAACCACCGTTAAAATCAGCAAAGGTAATTTATAAAAATACGTTTTAAATTTTCTAGAAAGAAAAATTCTGTTTTACTGACCAATTATAGTTTTCAATTTAGAGAATATTGAAATTTTATTTTGCATTGCTGTCTAAGGATCAATTTGCGTCTAATTTCTACATAACTGAGAGGAGGCTAAAGAGAAAATAAGAAGGTCGAATGCGGGGTTCGCGAAGGTAAATGGGCGAATTAAGCTGTAACAAGGTTCTTACCTCCTTCAGTCTCGTGCCAAACGATACCCTCGAGGGTGACGGAGGTGCCGGGCTCGCAAGGTCCCAAACACTCCGGTTCCGTAATGGTCCCCACGCTGGTCCCAACGCACACGTCGGACATGTCCTGCAACACAAAATTCATCAAATGGTTAACCCTGATATCACGTGTAGGTGCAACATTAGTACCGAGCGTATCGCATATCATGCGATGCCATTTTGCATCATATTACGAAATACTACTATGATGTAGTCTTCTAATAAAAACTGCACATTCGTGCATCTATTTGCTCTTGTTATTGTAACATAAATCTTAATATATACTAAAACATTACATTGCGTACGTGTAGCGCACGCAATTTAGTCTTAAAAATATCAAATATAATATAAAAAAGTACAACTGATTAAAATAAAATTTACAATTTACGTTTCATCATATTTAATTCAATAAGCTTTACATTAATAATTATGTATCTCTGTAATTATCGGCAAATATTGGTAATAAGAGAAATTAATTAATTTTACTACTTTTATGTAAGAACTTAAACCATTTCTTTATACATTTTAGTTTTTAATTTCAGCTGATTAACAAGTCTGGACTATTTCTTTGCTTAAAATATAAGATTTCAATGCATCGCAGTAAGATGTAAATTTAAAAATTCTAGGCCTATCAAATGTTATGATAAAAGATTCTAAAGTATAAAAATGAATAAAATGTTGCCTCTAATATATATATTATTTTTACATATTTGTGCATCATAATACGCATCGCATGACTATCGCGTGACGAGTCATTTTGACACAGCAACTTTACAAAGGTGTTAACAAGATATCTCTATCAACCGGAATTTTCGGCTTTTCAAAAACACTACTCTATCGGGAAATATCGCCGCGGCAGCGGAATATTGTCGCATCATTTTGGAAATCGATATAATTCGATTACTGGAGGCGCACGCGCGGAAAATGCACTCGGTTTGTAGCCGAATAGCTTGGAGGCGCGACGAAACGCAGTCGAGGATATAAAAGCAATTAGGGGAGACCCAATTAACGTTGGCCGCGCGCCATGGTATACTTGCGCAGCGTTGCTCGCTTGTGACGCTGTTCATGTTCACATCGTTCGTTGTTTATGGAAATACCGGTCAACCAATATTTCGCCGAAAGGACGGTTGGAAATGCGGTTACTGCCACGGCCGTTTACACCAGCGTGCAAATAGAAACTCGACCGGGCAAGAGCGTTAAAGGTTGATTTTCGCGTATCGAGCACATCTATCATATCGTGCACTAGAAATTGCGAACATGTCATCCCGTTAGAATATAGAGAGCATAATAGAAGCTATCGATTCTGACTTACACCTGGGTATTTACAGACGGCATTTAAAGAGTCCTGACTGCATGATAAAATTTCCTTTATTCTCTTTCATAGTTTTCCATTACGAGTATTTTTATCCGCATTACATACGTTTCCGTATCTGCTTTTGCGCAATATTGCTAAAGCTATATTTATGTGTTGTCGCGCCTTGATTATTGCAATACGGTAGATTTTTGTTTGTTAAATATTATTCAATTTATATATTATTTTGTTATCTGTATAATAATTATAATTATTAATAACTTACGATTAATACCGTTGTTTCACTTGCTATTTTTATTATATTATTAGTTAAATATATATTATATAGCATGCACTTAAGTATATAATATTGCATTGATATGGGCGAGAAGCCGTAATCCGGTTTATAGCGGATTTAAAAGCAATTAGCGAGATGTCTGCTGAATGAATGCGCTCTGTTGATCGCAGTAATTTTCGCGGCTCGATGCAAACAAATTTCTATTTCGGAAAACAAAATCAGCGCGCAGCCGGAGCACTGAGAGCAATTAGCGGTGCCCCACATGATTAACGCGCTAATTAGCGATGCAGTTCCGAACAGCGCGCACATAACTTTTTCATATGTTTTCGATTTTTCACTTATTCATCCCGCGGGATTTAAATATCGCCGATGTCGCAATATATCTCTACATCGTTCGGCATTATTGTCTACGCGGTTTTCAAGCTGCATGACAAAATAAAACCGACGTTAAATTGATTGAGGAATTCGTAACTGAATGTGAGAGCGGCAATTTCAGGACATCTTACATAAAGGACGAGATCAAGAGGTGAGTAAAAGTACGGAGGAATAAGCACGCGGCCGCCTTACAATCGGGCCTGAGATTACAATAGTAGTTTGAAATGCAAATCGCGGAGTTTATGCTTGGTTTCCATAATTACAGAAGCGGCGCGCGTTACCTCTCATAATGTACAATGTGGATCGACGTAATCGTGCCATTGTTCTGGTGTGAAACTACTTCGCCCTGTTAAGACGACGACGACGAGTCGACGAGTCAGTGATGCGAAAGAACAGCCGTGAAACGCAAGATGTGACAGCTTGCGAGAGAAAGGAAACACATTGGAGCATTGTCAATGAGCTTGTGCAGCACGCTATGATAATAAAAAAAGACGACGTCGTGTCATTACGTGACGTATATCGGAATACAGAGAAAAAAGTGCTTACAAAGCTTAAACAGTACACAAAGATATCGATATCTCTCAGGCATCTAAAAGATATGACAGAAATGTTTGAAATCGACAATAAAACAGAAAAATATTGAAAAGTATAATATTTACCATAAAATAAATATCGTTAAAAGTATTAAAAATGAATAAATATTGAGTTTTATCATTGCGCGCTACTTTTACATAAATGTTCGCCTATTTTATTTGTTTCACATACAAGAGACTTAAATTGCAATTTACAGAGGTGAAAATAATGGTAACTCATTTTCGCAATTACCATTTTAATATCTGTTTCTCGATTCAACGAAATTCATTAATTATTCCGCAGTGTTTTTTACACGAGCACGAAACAGCAGCAAATAATTCGCAAGAAACAATTGATGCGAGTTTCAGAGAAACGTAGAGAAGAATACTGTTACGAGCAAGACTCGCAAAGACTACGAGAGTTACTGTATTAAAGTATGCAAAATGTCGCGCGGATAAAACGAGAATAAAACTAAAGAATCAAGATACATGTGTGATACATATTTGAAGAGCTCTTGTCAGCGCGCTATATGGATCCAACGCGTTGAGTGATAAACGCTCGCGCATCGACACGATTGAAAAATCCTTTTTAACCTTTCGAGAGTTAAAATTGAACTCTTGTTCACGTTTCCCGATGCGACAAAAAGCGCAGTCGAGAATTTCTGGCGCACTTTAGAGCGCACATAGCATATAAACTACCGCTTTATACTCGCGCTGCCGGTATTGCGATAAAATTGACGACTAGATGAATAATATGATGATTAATTAAGCGGCATATAAATTGAACGGAGAGAATATTGTTCTTTATTGCATTCATTCTCGATAAAATCGGTGAATAGAATACAATAAATTGTTACACGAAAAAACGATAAATAAAGAAATATAATCGAATAACGGGAATGTTGTTTATAATTCATCAATAATAATAGAATTGTGAAACAAGTTACTACAAAATTTTGCCGCATTATTTCTTGCTAAAACGGCTCCTTCATTATTCCTTTCAGATAATCAATCATGCAGTTCGTACAGCAGTTGTTATACTAACCAAAGTGATATCAAACAATCTAGATAATTGAGGTATGTAAAAAAATTCTCAAATGTCTGCTAAAAACGCATGACGTATATTCATACTACAGTATTGTGCAAATATATGTCTATGTGCAAACATCTATATCGAGTAATGTAAGATGAGAATGCAAACTGACATTCTTGCTGAATTAACTTGTTTTTATATTTACATATATTTTTAAATAAAAATGCTATTTTTTTAAGTTTATATATAGCCAATTTTTCGCGCTTTATATTGGATTAATCGTAAAATCGAGAAGAAGAATCTAATCAAAGAGTTAAACGATTCCCGCGGATTAAAGCGTCCTCCATAGAATTTTCATCGGCCGACAGTGCCGATGATAACCGTGCACAGCTCTTCTCTCGACGCTTACGTAGGTACTACCTAGAATGCAATTTGCGGTGGAACAATCACGGATCGCCGTCAATTTCGCTGTTCGCCTCGCGCTCGAGCTACGGCTGCGTTTGTGTGCGTATTTCAGTGCGCGGATGGTCATGTATTTGCATATACGTGACTCAGTGTGACGGCTGCGTCCGTATACTATCCGCTTCGACGACGTGTAGGTGATTGCATTTGTGTACGAATGTGGTGTGCGGATGACCACGCTCGCTTTATATGTGCACGCTCAAGTGTGTAGGTCGCCGCGTACGTGTGCGCGCGAGTGCAAGAAGCGGCGTGGACGAGTTGTAACTATTTTATGATCGGCTATAGAAGACCGACAGCGGAGAGGGGGAAAGGGAGATTACTGCCGTTTCAAGCCTGCTGCGTCGATGGAAGAAGCCATAGCGAAGGGCAGGAGATGGAGAGAGAAGAGACCGGCGGATATATAAGTAACCGACAGGCATCGAGGGGGTGACGCGGGGATGAAGACAGGAGGAGACTTTGCGAGAGACAAAGTGCGCTCGGCGTATTATACTCGGCGAATGCGAGTTCGTATAAACGCCACAGCACACGGCGCGTAATATCGGGACGCCACGTTTTGCATTTTCCTCTTATTTACGGAGCGCGATCGACGCTGACAACGGCGACAACGATGACAATATCGGCAACGTTTGTCCCCGTGTACGTATAATATCATGCAAATACAATCTGTCTAAAAGTGATTTTATGTCTGCTGAAAACAGCATATCAATCCGTTCGAATGTGGATGACGGATCGGTTGTCTAGTCAATATTACACACGCCGTAACAAGCTTGTCGTCTCGAACGTTTTTACGACGTATGCGAGCGCAGGATTCGACGGTAAATGAATAACGATCAAGGTACTATTATTATTCAATTTTTTAATCCCGCTGGCTTCGCCATGCAGCACACAAACACATTTCCATCAGCGTAGAAAAATATTTTCCAACTTTTTTTACGCAGTATATTTTTGCTTTAAATAAAAAGAGAAAAATATCAACGATACTTCCAGCATTATATTCTGTAGCTTGGTATAAGAAGTCCTTAAGTCAGTTCCATAACCTCAGTTGGAAGATTTCTCG